TACATTTTGCATTCATGTTTAATTCGCTTTTAATTCAATTTTAATATGTCTGTAATACATTTTTTATTCAAGTTTAATTCATTTGGCAGTTTATTATGTTTCTTCATTTGTTACAATTAGATTACTTGTCTAATTAATTATTGATACAAGTTTTATTCAGTCTACGAATCATTGACTGCTCTTTCGTTTGCGATTAGTTTGGATAGGTTGTTCCTACAAATAGTTGAAAATATCGTTTGGAGTTTATATCCCAATTTTAAGAGGGTTTGGTTAAGTTTGGAATTGATTTTAGGAAAAAATTGGATTGAAGCTCGAAAAGGATGAAGTTTACGGAATTATATCACATTTGTATTAAAGTTGTATTAGATATGTTTCATAATTGTATTAAAATCATGAACAATACATCCTACATTTATAATACATATTGCAAACTTCATTCCCTTTTTAATGATATCAGCTAAAATAATTTAGGTAACACACTTATAATACATTTATAATACATGCACAATACATTTTTAATACATATTGCAAACATCACTCACATTCTTAGTGATACAAACCAAAAGTAATTTATAAGACACATATAATACATGTTTTATTTATGAATAATACATTTATAATACGTATTGCACACTTCACTCATTTCTTACGGATACCAACAAGAATAATTTAGGTAACACACTAATAATACATTTTTAATACATATTGCAACTATCGCTCATTTTCTCAGTGATAAAAGCAAAGATAATTTATAAGATACATATGATAAAAGTTTTATTCATGAATAATATGAGTTTAATTCAGTTTATAGATTGTTGTCTTGTCTTTTGTTAGTTACGTTTTTCATTCATTCTAATTATCTCTTCTAATTCAACTTTAATATTGTGTAATACAATTTTAAAGCAATTTCATTTATTTTGCAAATTTTTTATTTATTTGCTACTATTGGATTACTTGTTTAATTCATTATTTATACAAGTTTAATTTACTCTATAGATCATTGTGTGTAATATATTTTGACTTCAACTTTAAATGTGTGTAATACATTTTTAATTCAAGTTTAATTCATTTTGTAATTTATTATGTCTCTTCATTTGTAACAATTAAATTATTTGTTTAATTAATTAATTATTGATACAAATTTTATTCATTCTACGAATCATTGACTACTCTACGAAAGAAAGTAGAGAGAGAAACAAAAGAAAAAAAAAGCAAAAGAAAAAGAGAGAGAAAGAGCAGCAAAAGGAAAGCAAAAAAAGAAAAAACAGCAAAAAGAAAGTAAGAGAGAAAGGGCAACAAAAAGAAAGGAGCGAGAAAGAGAGAAAAATTAAAAAGCTGAGAGACAAAAAAGAGAAAGAGGCGAGAGAAAGAAAAATGTAATAAAATATATAGTATTGTTTTATATTGCTATAAATGGTAATAATTCAAGAGTATGTCTAAAATAAGTAATTATTTTTTAAAAAGGATCCACTCAAGTAATTAATCCTACATATATTTCGTTCCCCTCTTCCAGATCTCGCTCGCTCACTCGCCTCTCTCACTTTATACAAATACAAATGTATAAGTTGCGTTTGTGTTTGTATAAAACAAGATAAAATTGTATATACAAATACAAATGCATATATTTTCGTCCTATACACTTATGATTATACAAATATGATCTTCCCCTGCCCAGTTTTCTTTTTTCTTTCTCTCTCTTTCTCGCTTTATACAAACACAGATTATACAATTGATCTTTTGTATATATATATCAAAGCAAATTATATAATTGCTTTCTTTTGTATATATATAGCGAAATTATACAACTGCTTTCTTTTGTATATGTATAGCGAAATATACATATTTATGTTTGTTATGGAGCGCAATTATGCAAACTATAGCTATAACATACAAATATGATTTTTATGTTTGCTATATGTGAAAATTGTTCTATATTAAATAGTGACCCAAAAACTGGCCAGCCCACGGTTACACTTAGCAATCCATTCATTTGTGGGCCTTCTAGTTGGAAGTGATCCAAATCGAGTTATCCATTGGGCCAAAGTGAACAAAAATTCAACTTTAGAAGAACCTTTCAAATCAAAATTCATATATCATAATTCATAGTTCGAAAATATTTGTAAGTCTAATCACTTCGGAATACTTCCATAGTGGCGTACGTAAGATTTTTAGTAAGCGATGTGCTGCTCATGTAACCAACAGGCCAATATTAGTTATTTGTTCATGTATTATGATTTATTTTAATAGTAGTCATGTTTTGTTTTATTCAGGTTATTTATATATATAATTTAAAAAAAATCGACGAAACAATGTCGGCTGACACGTCTTGGTATAAGGTGGGTCCGCCCCTGGACTTCCATATATGTATGAATGAAGTTTATGCACGTATAACTAATTTCAAACAAAGGCACATATGATTAAACTTCAGCCATTTTTTCCCTAAACTGAACAGACCAGTTGGAATACAAGATATTTTGGCTATCAATTGGAAGAGTTATAAATAAGGAAAGTTACATATTTGGTTGGCTGGCCAAAATAATTACATTCGCCTAGCCAACTATATATATATATATAAAAAAAAAGAAAAGGATACACTATTTGTATCAAAATTGTATATTACGTGTATATCATACAATAATATACAAAAAATTATATACATTTGCTAGGGTTTTAAGTTATAGTTTGATTGTAGGACCATCATATGTTCCTCCTAACACAACAAACTGCTCATCATTTCGTTCTTCAAGCCAAGCATATGATCTTGTCTCATCTTCATTTCTTTATTAACATCTGCATGCAGATCCATTCACAAATTAATATAAGTAAAAATCAATTTATTGTAGTACATATCTATTCGAAAAATTATATTATTTCATACCGGAAAAACTTATGTGATCATACGAGTAATGTTGATAATATGTACAATGACGGCCTAAAACATCAAGTAGGATACATGGTGTTATGGCCTTGAAGCAATGCATATTTCCTCCTGATTCTGGAAACAGGACTGAAGATTTGCATGGTGCAGTGAAGTCTGCATGCGTCAACATGTACTTTTGCCAGCCTCATCCTAGATTCTTGTTGCCCGCGATCTATAAAGAACATACTTTTTAAATTTATCGTTTTAAACATGTCATGTGAATAACAAAATGGAAAAAAGACGAATTAGAATATACATTTACAACTAGCTAGCTATAATAAACGGTAGTAATATTAAAGCAACTAACTAATTGGATACATAATTAACTTTTTAGTGCTGATAGTACTGTAAACATTATTTATACTATGAGTATATATAAAAATCGACGCATGCTCTATTAATTAGTGTCAATTGTATGCACTAAGTCCACCTTCAATTGTCAGGTTGCGTTTTTTCAAAAGTCAATTTGACTAGTTAAATTAGATTACAGTAATTCGATATTTTAAACAAAAACTGTAGATGTTCAAAAACGATAGAAAAGTACTATAAATTGCAATTTTTTGTATATCAATATGATGAAGAGATACATCGTAAAATATTAGTTGTAAGAACATTATAAAAATGAAAACCATGACAATTAAATGTGGACGGAGGGAGGGAGTAGTATAAATAGCTTAATTATCATGTTAATTAATTCTATATATGTAAAACTAAAGATTTTTCTTACAATGATTGGTGATTGTGCACCCAATCATATGACGTGGCGTGCATGGTTCCTGTTAGAAGCTTACTGAACACAGTCATGCCAGGATGATTATGAAGAGGAATTACTCCTGAAGGTGGCAAACAGAAGATCCCAATCTACACTTGAAAAAATGAGTTCAAACTAACTAATTAAATTTCTTCCCCAACACCAACAAACGTTTTTTAATTAAAATAGTGTGAAGGATAAAAAATACACCTAAAATCTAAATTTTTTGAGTTTCATCCCTGAACAAGCTCATGTTTGCGAGTATATATCTTATCTGAACTATCATGAAATATTTATTGATACAGTACCTCTTCACTATTAGTAGTTCACTTTTCCCATGTGAAATATAAATAGTGATATTTTATGTAGGAAAAGAGAAAGCTGATAATTGAGGTGTGTTTCGATAAATAATTGATAATAATTTAGGTAAGAAAAGTAAAACATATGATAATTAGGATAGAAAACTCAAAAAATCATCTCTACTCGTTAAAATTAGTACGAAAATTTGTTGCATTCGTGGATCTTAATGCAGGTAACAAGAGGAGCTTCCACGGTTCCAGGAGGATTTGTACTCGAAAATTCCAAGCTTGGTGCTGTAAACTTAAAATCTTTTGGTTCCAGACTTTATATCTGCCATACGTTTATAAAATAATAAAATGTGTTTGTATTTCAATTTTGTCGGTTGAGATGTTGGAATATGTTCAGCAATTCTCATATTTAATACTAGTATTTAATTTGGGTTATTCTTGTACAATCATTACTCCAAGTGAAAAATGAGTTTTTGATGCTCAAAATTCAATTGTGCCGTATCCACTTGTGTATTTCTTTGAATTATTATCAGACCTTATGGCCATAAACCATAGTCTATAGCCATATTATTTGTTAATTCAGTTTATTTTTCCAATCTCCCTTGTGTGTCATGCTTTTTTCAAATGTCATAGACGGATTAATACGTACGTACGCACATACAAATGTGAATGCGTTTACATTTGCCCTCTTGTCTGCATATTTTATTAAATAAAAATCTGCCAACTACTATCACTTATCTTTCTTGGCAATTTGCCAGATCTTACAAAGCGTTTACTAATTTTTATGAGACTTCCAAGTAATGAATCTTACTAAGGTCTTAGACATTTTCACTCCCAATAATATCCCAATGCCCCAATTCCATTTAAAGTCACTAGTATTGCAATAATAAAAAAAAATAAAAAATCCAGATATCCCCAGAGGACCAAAATAAATCAGATTGAACTGGCTCTGGCTTAGTTTTAAACTATTACTACAAGCTAACTTCCATAGCAAAAATTTTCTTCATCACTACTGCTCTTTGTGAAATCAGCCAAATCATAGGGGAGGGGAAAGGAAAAGGAAATATCCACCAGATAAGTAGATTTGGCGTTGCATCAAAAGCCTTCTGTAAGCGCAAAAACTCTGCCTGCCAAAGGCGGAGGTATTGCAGAAATAGCCTCCTCAATAACCTGATAAGTGAATTTTTTTTGTTAGAATGGTATAAAAGCAATGAAACAAGATGGTCCTAGAATTAGATACTTCCTCTACTGGGGGGAAGATCGATTAATTGGTAAACCTTAAGAACATGAAATGGTAGGAAGCCACACTTTCCTAACACACAAATGATGATTGGGTTCCAAAATGATGTACAGAAGCACTAATGTTGTGAAAATTACTAAATTGCATGTTATTAATTGGTTTTTGGGAGAATGAAAATAGACCACAAGTAGATAGTTACGAACAACACAGTGAAGACAGACATAAGAAATTAAACACGGTTGAATTCCATTTCTATCCTATTTACCAACTTTCCACAAACCAAAATAGTACAGAGAGTAAAAATTTGAGACTATGCCATCCTGTGAACGAGAAAATATTGCTGGACTTCTTAGGGAAGCTCAACCAGAGTAGTTTCTAGAAGTTCTGAATCTACGACACTTGGTTAGATTTGGTGACAGCTTGGTGTGTGCATCAAGAGAGGGAGAGAATCAAACTTACATCCAACTGATAGCGGGCCGAAAAGTGGATTAAAAGGATGGCTTTGTTCTGAAACATGTCTGCGAAATTGATAATCTGGTAGGATGTCATCAACGCATAAAGAAAAGTATATCAGACTTCTAATAATTTTATAGCACATTCAGGATTTTATTTTTCTATCTTCCAGTAAAATCTTGAGGTTAATCAAAAGAGATTATCAGGAATTAATGCAAAAAGAATCACCTCAGACAGATGAGTATGTCCATATTCTCTTGCATTATCTGCTGTCGTTTTGTCCTCCACATAAGTGCTCTGGAGAAGAATCACAAGGAAGAACTTAAATCTCTGGAACCAGCAATGTTGAAAAGGCAAATTGAACTAAAGATCTCCCCACTGCCAATTCTACTGTACCAGCTATGATGTTATTTACATAAAAGTAAACACAAGTAACGATGCTCTCCGTAAGTTATTACTAAGAGATTAATAGGCTAATTAGTTAATCCAATTGTGTCGTCGTCATAAGGATAAGTGATCATACTAGACGGCAACTTTGTTAACTCCATAAGTTGATGAATTCATGTTGTTGATATAGTTGGATTATACAGAAATGCATAGGAGACCTCCAAAAAATTAACTCAGCAAAGTGTCATAAGTTGAAGATGACACGATAGGCAGTAAGAATGTTAAAAATCAAACAGTGGTCCTCAAGGCCTTATGTAATGCTCCTTGGAGTGTTTGCTAAAATTTAAGAAAGATACTGGAGTCATTGGATGTCCAAATAGTATATATTAGATAGACCAGAAGTAGAAGAGCCACATAAACCTCATTCTGAAAATATTCTTTCAAGGGAGGAAAAAATGGCTACAACGAGTCGTGGAAATTGAGCGTCATGTTTCAGACGAGGTACATTTTTGGCAGGTGTTGAAGTCAGGGAATTTACCTCCATTATGAGGATTTTTGCCCTCAAAACATCAATATTTTTGGGATCCTTAATGAAGTCTGACATGGTATCACCTGTAAATGCAATTTCAGGTGTTGTTGAAGTGTTCGTGATCTGTCAAAATCAAAGAATCTTTGTCATACTGATATTGTGATACATAAGATATGCAGGAAGTTTGTTGCAGATGCATTCTTGTGCAAGATTATATAAAGGCTGCACAGGTGCAGGGTGCACCTGTGTCAAAAAGAAATTGCTTAATGTAAAAGCACCCCTTGGGTTGGAATTTAAACCAACATTTAGAAACAAATGCAATCAGATAAATTCCTAACCAACTATGATATCATGACAGACCTCCACACCTGATAACTTTAACTTCTTAATCTCATCTCCTGGAAGGCCAACATATTCTTGCTTAAGTTTCTGCTTGATTGAATATACTATATAACCCTGCACCATAAAAACCAGGTGATTAAAACCTCAAATAGACACCAGTAATATAAGAAGAGATCAAAATGCAAAGGTCATAACATCCGACTGTAGCAGTTGCTTCCTCTCGTAGAAAGTACAAAGCACATTTTTTGGATCGAATCCACTTAATACCGGCAAAAAAGAAGCATGTGCAGGGAAAATAAGCAATTGAAACTCAGAGCATTAAGGAAAGTACTCAACCTGGCTAGGAATGACATGATAAGTCTTAAATGCTCTAACTTTAAGATCCTTCCTCAAGTAGAATTCTTCTCCTGTGTATGCACAAACACATATTCACTTAAATTGTGATATTAGAGCTAACTCCAACTTTGTAATAACTAATTAGGAGAGCTATATAATCAATACAAGAAGATTTTTACCCGCATCCAACCCAATCAAAGTATGGTTCAGTTCTGAGTGATCCATAGCTCGGTGAGCTTCAAAAAGCTTCTCTATACTTTCTTTGATTACTTTTGGTACAAGAACAGTAGGAGGTCTCATTCTATAAAGGGAACGAGTCGCAACATACATAGGTAGTCCTCCTATGTGATCCATGTGGCCATGAGAGATGAAAAGGAACTGCTGAGAGATGGCACGCTGAGGACACTTGCCAATATCAAAGGCTAAGTTAAGCGAGGGAACTATTATGCACGTCTCATGACCTGCTATTGATATCCCTTCTAGCGCGTATCCTTCAATCTGCAAGCCCCTTTCCCTCTTCTGGCTACTGTTACCCCTCCGATTTGAGTTGATCGATTCAGAATATTTTGTTGTTTTAACCTCCATTTTGCGTAACATTGATGGACTTCAACTCTGGAAGAGATTAGAACAGAGGGGAGGATAAAATAAGACTTTAGAAGGACACTATACTCTTCCTTTTTAGTTAATGATATAAGTAAAATGTAAATTTTAGTAATGAAAGCCATTCAGTACGAAACTAGTACTGAAACATTACAAAGTAAAGGAATCCTTTATATCTATAAGGATTCCAGAATATAAAAAATAGCATCAGTCTCATTAGAAAACTCAGCATTGCGTAACACTTTTAGGACACTATACACTTTCTAACAATTAATATTCTCCCCAGACAAAAATTCACTTCTACAGAATATGTGAGAATGTGAGACATTAACTATCAACTTAGATTAACTTGGATTTAAGAGGCATTTGAGATCAAATAACTATTAAGATGACTAAAAATTAAACCTGGAATATATGTAATCATAATTATTTGGTAAGTGACTTAAAATTCAACATTTCCACCCATGTCCCTAATACAATGATAAATAGACTCATAATTCTACTTTCTTAAACTATGTATCAAATCAAAACCAGACAAACAAATTGAAACGGTCAAACAGATTGTGAACAATTATACAAACTTCAACATTTGTTTAATACAATTCTACACATAAAAAATAAATTACTTGTGATACTCATCATCAAGCTCAATTAAATATTACTCCTAGTATTTTACCAATTTACAAGAACAAAGAATTCATGACGTACCAAACTGCTTGAATAAATAGAATCAATATTAATCATTAGAAAGAGGTGAGGGTAGAGCCTTACAGTATACAGCGACGAGGGACGAAGGAGAAGCTTTGAATGTAAGTTGGTTGCCGCAAGTTGATTTGAGGTGTTTTTCCGATAAGGATTTCCCGGCGAGGGTAGGTGAGGGTAGAGCCTTACAGTATACACTGACGAGGGACGAAGGAGAAGCTTTGAATGTAAGTTGGTTGCCGCAGGTTGATTTGAGGTGTTTTTTCGGTAAGGATTTCCCAGCGAGAGTATGGGACTATGGCAGAGGTCTCTAATGCGGAGGATGAAGAGGGGTTTGGGTTTTTGAGGGTAGGTGAGGGTAACATTAGCACTTCAACTCAAGCTTATGGATGAACTCTATCAAATTGCGTAAAACTTTGAAGCTAGCTTAAAACACAAACCCATTATAAAAGTTTGTTTACTTTACAGAATATTGAGTCAAAAATGCATTATATTTTGAATAAATTACTACTAAAGAGTGCTACTTCTTCAAAAGAGAAAAGGTCAACAGAGCTAAATAACAAACAAATTGATATCATATTTACTATATTCACTCTCGTCTTGATATTCTTAGTGTCTTGCTTTAGTGCATTAACTACCAAACAAGTAATTGATTGGTTTCTAGACACTTCCTTACAGCTATTTACACAGTCCCAATAAGTTCTCAAGAGAGTTATTATACCATGTCCGAGTTTATTACCCAAATTTGTAAATTGGAGAATACGACACTGGTGCGGCATCAAAAGTGAGTCCATGCAACTAAGTAAATTAAGTATTGATAGATCAATCAGTCTTTGCCAACATCATACCCTCCAAGTAAAAAAACCACTAAGATCTATGTGGGTTGCATGTGACTGTCTAAAGAAGGAACATAATGTTTGAAACTCCAACACAAAGTGATGGGAAAGGTGTATGCACCCCAAAGTATAATCAAGTCCTAACTCAACCAACTGACGAAAATGACTCAAAACGCGAATTTAAGCTTAAGAGGAAAAAAGGGCAGCCCTATGTAAGGTTCGGGGAAGGGAAGCAACCCAAGAGGTGTGATGTAGACAGCCTAAACTAATTCAAGCATTAGTGATTGCTTCTACGGCTCAAACTTGTGACCTATGGATCACACGGAGACAACTTTAGCGTTGTTCCAAGGAGCAAAGGAAACCATTAAAACGAAATTACGACCATAAGTTGAAGACATAATACTCAAATGATTGGAGATTAGTGCAACAAATTTCAAAAATCATGTTCTAACTGTGATAGAGAGGAAATCCCAAACATCTTAATGAGCATACTTACTATGAAAATCAAACAAAATTGAGAGAACTTTGAAGAAACATAATGAATAAAAAATACATGTATGGTTCAACCCTGAAACTGAATCAACCGATAATGCTCTATCCGCTTCCATAATCGAATTCGAGGAAACCTCCATAGACATACTCCCTGCAATTACCTCTATCATGACATACTCCTCCATTTCTCCCAATTCCACCACCTAATGAATTTCTCCTCCTCAAAATAGGTACTTGAATTCCCAAAAAATGAACCACTCTTCCATCCTTCTCACTATAAACAAGACACATATGAAACAACACCCTTTTCAGGACCTAGCAAGAAAAAGCTAAAATTCAAAAATATAATTTACTATGATAGGTTCTAAATTCCAACAATATTTGCCCATCTCTGATGATGCCTATGTTTCTCTGTATAGGTGTCGACTCAAAGAACAAGGGAAGGGAAGGAGAAAAATGAGGTTTCAGCTCGGTTTTAGGTTTGGCCGATTCAAACCCAAAAACATGTTCAGGGAATCGGAGGATAGCATTGAAGCAGTCACAATTATTTGGGTCTTTCATTTCCCAACTTTGGTTTTTACTGTTTGCTTCACTAATTAATTTTCCGATGGGTTTTATTTTTGTCATCGTGTTTCTGTGTTTCACTGTTAATTTCATGCTATGCATTTTTGTTTTCAATTGAAACTATAGGCAAGCAAGATAAAACTCAGAAATACAAACAACTAAGCTCCAAAATCCAGCAAAGTCCAAAGTTAAGACAAAGAGGAGTTAAAGAAAGCCAAAATCGAAGAAATCCAAACCCACCATACAAAGAAAGCACCAAATATTGCAACCACCAAGCCAAAATCGAAGAAACCCAAACCCAATACAAAGGAAGCATCAAATATTGCAGCAATTCAAGTGTAAATTATGCTAACCTGAACGCAACTATGAAGGAGAAGAGGAGAGAGTAGATGGAGATGGCGAAAAATTTTATCCTGCGCGAGGCGCAAGTATTGTCAGTTGTGTGAGGGATTGTTTGGCTGCCAAGTGTATGTTATGGGACCACATGTCACTTTCTTTCATTTCCTTTTCTCATCTATTTTTAACCTTCTTTCTTTTTATACTTTTTCTTTCTTTCTTCAAAACACTTTCTTGCATTTTTTTCTACTACTTGTTAACTCTTAACATAATTTTATTTTATTTTTGTATGATGTTTTTTTTTTTATTATTTGAAATTTGGTATATGAATTAAAACGCGACAATTTACGATTTGCATTGTGTAGAGCTTTGTTCGAAGTGATATACTGTTTACCAAGAATTTTTCATACTCAAAACCTCTAGTTAATCGAGAAACAATATCATCTTTTGCGCCATCATTTATTTGAGAAAAAACCAAGTTGGTGTGTCGAAAAATTTAAATTTATTTTTTTGGAAAAGTTTTAAGGAATTGAAGAAAGTGAAACTACAAAAAATTAGTATTTTAAAATCCCATGTCTTAATTTCATAAAATGTTTTTTTTTAAAATAATATATTTTATAAATGATATATAGAAAATATGATTTGAATTAATTATTTTTGAAATTATAAACAAAATTGTAATTTACCCAAAATAACTTTTTCATTTCTCTTCTCACTCCTCCACTCCACCTTTTATTTACCCCCCTCTATGTAGAGTACTTTGTAATTTTGTAAAAAATTAAATATATTTCATTACACAATAAAAATAATAATATCCTAAAATTAATATTTCATTATCTCTTTTTCGCATTATTTCTCCAATTCTTCAATAAACAATAGTAATGTCCTAAAATTAGTAATTTTATTATCATTATTTTTAATTTAATTCATAATATTCATTTGTTAAAAATCAAATATAAATAAATATATTAATATTAATTTCGATTTAAAGTAAAATAATTATGTATTTTAAAAAATCTAAATTAAGACTTGTGTTTTTAACTTCGTACAAAATCAATTGTATTATTTAAAGAACAAAAATAATTAGTTATTTAAAACTATTTGTAAATCAACAAAATCAAAATATAATTAATTGATTTTTTTCAATTTACTCTCTCTATTAATTTATTATTTTTTCTCTCAAAATTCAAACTAAAAAATATATTTTTTATTACATTACATGATAAGAATTGCAACTAATAATATTTTTTTGCTGAATTGCAACTTAGTGAGAAGGTTATATTTTTTAACAAACACTATAAGTTGCAATTCTTATCATGTTAATATAATAATAAAAGAATATTTTTAAAGTATGTATGTATGTATGTAGGAGTTTATGGATGATTTTCGAATTTGGATTACATGAAAATAGTAACAAAAACTTATGTAATTATTTGTCAAGATTACTGATGGTCTTTCTATTATATTTTCTTGTTGGAGAATATTTGATACATTTAAGTGTTTATGAAATTAGAAAATTATGAAATAATTGAGAAGAAAAAAATTAAGTTTATACTCCTTTTGTTTTCGTATTAGTTATTTTACTTTTTTACACTTTCTTTAAGAAATTATTAATAAAAATGATATTTATTAATTTACTCTTTATATTTTATTTTTTTACAATTTTACAAAATTTTTTTATAATTTCAAAAATAATTAATTGTTAGAGTAATGAAAAAAATTATAGTTTAATTTTGTTAATTGATAAACAATTTTAATAATTATTTTTAGTAATTTAGATAATTAATATAGGATAGAAAAATAATACTAAATGTTAGGAGTATGATGAATTAGGCTAAATTTCATACTTTTAAATTATTTAAAGGTAAGGAAAATAGTAAAATTTGAAATAATGGTAAAAAAAACAAGAAGTTGAAAAGTTAAATAATGGAAAAAAGTTAAAAAGTAAGAGAGAGAAGGAACTTTGGCCCTTTTTTCTGAAAATGGGACCCAGAAATCCATTTGTCAAATTATAAAAGGGGCCTCACACAACTTTTGTATGCCACCTCATACTTGTCCCTCAACCACCATAAAAATTTTCGG